TTTTTTTTTTTGATAAATGGTATGATAGATATATTAAATTATATATGTTAATCCGTTTATTAGATTTATACTGCATAATATTTTTGGCGAGACATGTTGACATTAATTGTGCAATGTGGTGACAAAGTGCAACGTGTTGTTTTATAAAGTGCAACACATTGTTTTGTAAAGTGCAACTTTTCGCTACATCGAGTGCACTAATTTATACATTCCCAAATAAATTGTTTGTATTCGAACACTAGATATAATATTATATTGAATTAACCTAAATAATAAAAAATATATTATATTTATTATTTTCATTACATAATTTATTTATTATTGTATATTATATTTATATTATTTTAATTTATACTAACTAATTAATACTTTATTTATTATGTAACATATATGCATATAAATATTTTATAAAAAAATGATTTATTATTAACTTTCAATAATAACAAATTTGACACATGGGTATAAATAATAACAAATTTGACACATGGGTATAATTGACATAAAGTTAAAATTAAGAAAATTTCAAATAGATCCTTAGATATAACTTAATTCTCAAAAACAAGTCCCAATCTTACAGTCCAAGTTCACCCATTTTTTCCGGTAGGACTCTGTCTCGGGCAGCTCACGGGAGGACCCTCCGACGACGCTGGACCTGAGGAGCTTCCCGTCGATGTCGGACCTGAGGAGTCGTCCGTCGACGACGATTGTCATGGTGAGCTCGCCGTCGACACAGGTGCGACCTACGTAGCTCGCGTCGGGCTCGCTGTGAATTCTGACCTTCGGCGACGTACGCCATTCAGTAAATAGACATGGCTGGTGGTTGGATATAGCAGTTGTTGTGGCTGTACACGGGCGACGGGAGTTCACGCCGTGGTTGCGGCTGTTGTGTGGCGACGCGACGTCTACGGCGATGGATGATGGCTGCTGGTCAGCGGCGAGATAGGCGGTGGTCGGCGACGAGGTGGGCGGTGGTCGGAGGTGTCTTGGTCGTGTGTGTGTGTGAGTATTGTGTGTGTGCGTGTGGGTTGACTCTGTGTATGTGTGAGAGAGAGGCAAATGTGAGAGAGAGAGAGAGAGAGAGAGAGAGAGATTAATGATTTGCAGTCAATGTGCTGTGTATGTGAGAGAGGGGTTGGTGAGGTGAGGAGACAAGTGACCCACGTGGGTGTAGGAGTTGTTGTGATTGTGGTTCCATGTTTGTATCCGAAAATTACCACATTACCCTTAATGAAATTAATGAATATTTAATTTTAGCTTTTTTATTAGCCATTAGATCATTTGATCTAATGACTACCATTTATTCTTATTTCTTTCACTAGAAACCATTCTCATGTGAACCCAACCCTATATATATATATATATATAGATCAAGTTATTATTCATGGATGTATTAGTTGCATCAGAATTCAATTTATTATTATTTTAATACATATAGCTCTTTTTTTATAATATAATAAATTTATTAATTAAATACCTAAACAATTTAAATTAATGTATAAAATAAATGATAAATCGGTTCCTGGGCCACTTGATCGGGTTGTTCGGTCCAATTCGATTTTAACCAACAATGAGTAAATTATCATTAATGTCATTTATACATTAAATTTATAATACAAATTGTAAAACGCGCACTATACAAATTGTAAATAAAATCTGTGCCCAAAATAATATAGTATATTTGAGCGAGTGGCCTTGCCCGTCTGAAAAGCATAAGATCATTTGGAATGCACGAATTATTAAATATATTTGGCCTTTTCATTTTTCTTTTTTTTTTGGTAATAATATATGTGAAAATATCTATTTTCATCCCGTTTTGAAGTCTTGTTAAGTTTTTCACACCGTCCAATAAAAAGCTAAAAGTTTTTCACCCCAGAAAGTGCGAAGGTTATGCGAAAACTGTTGTATATTCATCGCATAACTGTCCATATGCGAAGGATATGCGAAAAACTGTCGCATAACTGTCGCATATCAATTGCATAATTGTGCAAAGACATTGTGTGATAAATATGCGACAGTTATGCGACAGTTATATCAATTGCGTAATTGTGCGAAGGCATTTTGCGATGAATATGCGACAGTTATGCGACAATTTTTCGCATAACCTTCGCATATGGACAGTTATGCGATGAATATGCGACAGTTTTCGCGTAATCTTCACAGTTTCTGGGGTGAAAAACTTAGTTTTTTATTGGGCGGTGTGAAAAACTTAATGTGTCTTTATTATGGGGTGGAAAAGATTTTTTCTCATAATATATTTTGGCCTTGGCCTTAGGCGAAACAAAGTTATTCCCTATTAATATAATCGTTTTGCTAGGAAGCCAACAGTTGGTTCCGAGCCAACTTCCTATATACAACAAATAAACCTACCATATTAATAAAATTATATTAATGTTATTTAAGTAATCAGATGATAATATGGTAGGTTTATTTGTTGTATATAGAAGATTGGTTCCACTATGGAGCTAACTGTTAGCTCCATACCAAAACCGTGAATATAATATAGGAAAATGCTACAGTCCCATTACGGTATTTTAACCGTTGATCATTCATCTTATTTAACTAAATATGGATCCAACGGTTAAAACACCCGACAGAAAGATACTATAACGGTGGGACTCTAGCATTTCCCTTTAATATAAATATCAGAAAAATTACAGCCAAGAAGACGAGAAGAGAGGAGAGGACAAAGGGCATCCTAACTCAGCCCTAACCTCTCAATTGCTTCCATGGATTTTATCAAATGTTAAAACCCTCGACCTCTTCATATCTGCCCACATATACTGTGTAATTCGTTACACAGTTTTTGTGTTTTTTTATCTTACATATATATCTGTACAAGGGAAAAAAATGAGTGGTCCGCCCAGCCTGCCGCCTCCGAGACGCAGCAGTATGGCCCAGAAGCGAAACCCCGCCTCCATGAAGAAGTCCTCAGCGCCGCCGCCTCCGGAGAACGGTTCCGCCACCAATGGAACCAACCCCAAACCTTCATCAACTTCTCAATCGTAAGATTTCATATTCTTTTTTTTTTCTTTACCAGTTTTCTATCACTCTCTGTTTTTCTTGTTCGAGCAAATGGGGATGCAAAGACGGCTACTTTAAAGGCGAAAGCTTAATTTTTTTGACAACTAGTAGTTGACTTTGAGTAGGGAAAAAATGGTTGGTTTTCTTGGTAAATACATTTTTGATGCAGAAGATTTGGTGTGATGCTTTGGTGGTGGATCATTGTATATGAGGCGAGCGAGAATTTATTGCACGAGAGGCCCTGCGGCTATTAGTTAGTATGTGCAAACACTTATACTATAGGATGAAGTGATTTTTCTTGCCGCAAAAGCGAAAGTAGTTTGGAGTCAGAAGTTGGTAGTGTTATTGTGAACAGAACCTGGAGAATGAAGAAGTTGACATTGAGTTTTGGTAGAGAACTGTTATTTTGTGTGCGATAATCAAATTAATAATTAGTCTTTTTCTACTTTCCAAATTTTAATCAAGTGAAGTAGAAATAGAGGTAGCATTCATTTGCTACAGTAAAATATAGTCAAAATGGATTGTAGTGTGAATATGATGGTTTCTACTACATTTACATACACGAGAAACTGATAAGGTGCCACAATGTCCAGCTTTCCCAGTCACTTTGGTAATTTGCTAACTTACGGGTAACCTTTTTTCTCTTAATAGTATAAGCTGTTCTACTGTGGGGTGGGGTTGTAGGAGGCTGGAAATGAATAATATTAACTATTCTCTCCCAATGCACGCTTTTATATTTTTTTCCCCAGATAATTTTTATTACGTCGTTTACTTGCGTACGTGTCTCTAGTAAATGAATACACACTTTATTATATGACTGCCTAGTACCATGGGGCCCCATTCTTCTACCTGTATGCTCGAACTTTTAGACGGATCATTTGCTGTTTATTTTAAGTCGTGTTCATTATAATCATGCACATATTATGCAGTCTATGAATTACAATTTTAGGTTACAATAATTTGTTTTCTCTTTCATTCTATACTTTGTCATGAACTAGTATTAAAATGATCCATAATATGTAGTGTGTGTAATTCTGATCTGGGAACTTTTGTTTTTTATATGCATATGTAGGCCTGTTGCAGGGGAGAGGACAGTGAAGAATCTGAGGTTGTCTAAGGCACTTACAATTCCAGAGGGAACCACTGTGTCGGATGCCTGTAGGAGGATGGCGGCAAGGCGTGTTGATGCTGTTCTTCTGACCGATGCTAATGCCTTGCTTTCGGGAATTGTTACTGACAAGGTGCTCATCCGGTGAACATGCTTTATGTCTCGTATGCTAATGGGTGGAACATGTATAGTCATGATGTTTTCCCCTCTTCACTGTAAATTACCGTGATAAGATGTGCAGCATTACTTTTTTTGTTTAAGATTGTTGGTTTTGCATTTACTGCAACTATTAGTATTATTGTTGCAGATATTATTAGTGTTGTTATTACTATAATTATTGGGCAGGACATAACAACCAGGGTCATAGCTGAGGAGTTGAGGCCAGATCAGACAACAATTTCGAAAGTAATGACAAGAAACCCAATTTTTGTGAACTCAGATTCATTAGCTATTGATGCTTTGCAAAAGATGGTCCAAGGTTGGTTCGCCTGTCCTTTTGCTTATCAAGCACTTGAATAATTCTCTCTTTATTTTTTGTTGTGAAAGCGTACAATGAATGCCCATTTGTATTACTATTCAAACCTTTACTTTCATTTTGTTATTGTTTTACTACTAATATAAAATATGGTTTTGCTGCTAATATATAAAAGTTACCAATTTCCATAGGAAAATTCCGGCACCTTCCTGTGGTGGAGAATGGTGAAGTTATAGCACTATTAGATATTACAAAGTGTCTGTATGATGCCATATCAAGAATGGAGAAGGCTGCTGAGCAGGGGAGTGCAATTGCAGCGGCAGTCGAAGGCGTTGAGCGTCAACTTGGAAATAATTTTTCTGGTTAGTTAATATTTTTTTACATGCTGTACATATTTTTTACTATAAGGATCAATCAATGTGCACACAGATGACAAGAAAGAAAAAGCGTCTCTCATCTTTGTGACCGATTTGTAATCAATCGTTTAGCGTTTTTCTGTTGCGAGTATGAAAGAAAAATTCTTCACTTCTTACCATGGCTTTTATCAGCTTCTTTTCCGAAGCTTTGATACATGTCCTTTTCACTATGTGAGGCTAATGTTTGCATATGGAACTAGTATCATCAACATATAACATAAAACAATAGAGTTTGGAGTTCCCAGTTATACTGTTTGGTGCAGGGCAGCAGGATGACTAACTCAATTATAACTTTATGTCATGATGCTTGTCGAAGTATTCCAATTTTGAGAAGTTGCGTCCAAGTTGCCAGCAGTAGCTCTCTAAGACTTCAGAAATTAGTCAAAGTCCCCAAGACTTCACTCTCAATCTAGACTGGTGTGACCAAGTTTTCCATGTATATATGTCTAATCCTAATCTAGTGTATTAGGATGGCTAAACGCTTAGGGTCACCTATTTGAGAAAGCTTGCTGTGCAAACTATTGTATGATTGCCTTATGGAATTTGAAACACTTCATATTTTCTGGCACCTGTCGAGTATTTGTCTCATATATGGATTAGTATGCGTAATCTTAATTATAATTTTTCCTGTTTCTCTGTATTCCAGCACCATTGGCTTTTATAGAAACACTTAGGGAACGCATGTTCAAGCCTTCATTGTCTACGATCATTTCTGAGACTTCTAGGTAACTGTTTTCTGTGGCTTTTCCTTTATCTTGGCATCGTTTTAGTTACTAAACCTGTAAATTTGTTATATCATCAGGGTTGCAACTGTATCGCCTTCAGATCCTGTTTATGTTGCTGCTAAAAGAATGCGTGAATTACGGGTCAATTCGGTTCTTATTATGACAGGAAGCAACATCCAGGGGATACTCACGTACTGCCCTCTGATCAGAGAACTAAGCTTCTTTGCTTTTTTCTCTTTCTTGTTGAAATGGATTTTCGAAATTGATACGTGCTATTTTTCGGTTAACTTGACTGTTAATTTTTTTGTTGGAACAATATTGCAGTTCAAAAGATATACTCATGCGAGTTGTGGCCCAAAACCTCTCTCCTGAACTGACGCTTGTTGAAAAGGTCGGACAGCCGTTTCATCTTAAATGTTTCAGTTTGGGGAAGATGCAATATATTCTCCTGGATTTTATTTTGATTTTTAAATGAAATTACACATTGAGTTATATCCTTGCTTAGTAATTATTACTCACATTTCCCATGCTTAATAATCTTTGGTTATAAGTGGTTTGATTATCATCCTTTATGCATCTTTTTTCCAGGTTATGACACCTAGCCCTGAATGTGCAACCCTGGAGACGACTATTCTTGAAGCATTGCACATAATGCATGATGGAAAGTTTTTGCATCTTCCAGTTGTAGACAAAGGTGAATACTAGTTTTTGTATTTTTAGTTTCCATTCTACAAAGCTTTTAACATTATCGTTTTGGCAGATGGAGGTGTTGCTGCCTGTCTAGATGTTTTGCAGATAACTCATGCAGCAATTTCTATGGTACAGTTTTCATTTCGATACGTATATTTTTTTTCATCTTATTTGTTTTGCTAATTGCTATATTTTAATAATATTGTTGCTTCATGTTTGTACCATTATTGAATGCCCCCTTAAATTTGTGTACTGTTGATGACTGATACACTTAGCATTTGCTGTCACTCTGCATATATATCTCTGACAAGGAATGTCATTTACAGAGCAGGCCAAACCTTTAACTAAAACAGTGAATTTTTTTTTTGACTCACTATTCCAAACAATTTCGGTTTCCGCAAATCCTGATGGGAGGAAAACGTTTTTATGAAAATGGTCCAAAGACAACATATGATTTTGCATTTGCTTTTAAGTTTTTTCTGTTGTCATGTTCTTGAGAATTTTTGAACTAAATTTTCTGTTTGTTTCTCTTCTTGGAGTGTCAACTTTACATGGTTATTAATTGTGATATTAACTCAATGTCCCTAGTCATTTGGTCTTTTTGCATGCATATTATTTCTCAATGGGTTGGACTTTGGAGAATTAAATTTGCATTGCCCTTTCTTGAAAGGTTGAGAGTAGCTCTGGCACTGTTAATGATGTTGCAAATACAGTAATGCAAAATTTCTGGGATTCAGCTCTTAATTTGGAAGCCCCTGATGATTATGACACTCACAGGTCTTGCTTTGGCTTCTGTTGCTAATTAATTTGATAGTATTCATGGTTGGAATGAGCGCCTGCTAATCGTGCTTCTTCTTTTATGCAGTGAAATGTCTATGTCCCATCCTTCAGATGCTACCGAACATGCAAAGTCTGCATACCCAAATCTCGGCCTCGGAAACTCATTTTCTTTCAAATTCAAGGACCACAAAGGGCGTGTCCACCGATTTAGTTTCGGTATAACAGATTATATGACGACCTTTGGCTTCAGAGCTAAAATTTCGTTTAAGTGTGGAAAATCCAGTTCACGGTTCTTTTTTTTTTTTTAATTGTTCTAATGCTCTTTTTCCCTCTCGTCGCTTTTGCATTTAGGCACCGAAAATCTAGCTGAACTAGTCTCTGCTGTTATGCAACGAGTTGGTGCACACAGTGATCAGCAACCCCCTCAGCTGTTGGTGGGTGTATAATTAAATATATCATCTTCTTTATTTATATATATATATATATGTATATTTTTTCTTTTTTTTACGAGGCTTGTTGATGCTATTTACCATTTATCTCTTAGTACGAAGATGATGAAGGCGATAAAGTCCTGCTCACGACGGATGGAGATCTTATTGGTGCCATAACCCATGCAAGATCTGCCGGACAAAAGGTGACAATAATGATCTTACATTGCTGCCAAAACCTTAGGAGACTAAAATATCTCGTTAATAGTGATTAAATATCTTGTGTTATTACCAGGTCTTGAGGTTACATTTAGATTACCACGATTCAAATCTCGAAACAGAGCAGCCATTGGCTGAAAAGATCGAGATTGCAGAGAAAGCTGGGCCCGCCTCTATACGTTACGGGATATTTGCAGGTGCACTCGTTCTCACAGGCTTTGGTGTGTTGGTCTACTTGAAGCGCACAAAAAATTGATGCCTTGCGTAGGTATATATTATTTGTTTTGAGCAACAGAAAATTTGGAATAATGCTTTTGTTGCAAATATTCTATCAAGTGAGATGAATATCCCGTGTGACCTCAAATTTTCGAAAGTTTTGTGAAAATCTGGAATCATCTGTAGCATGGGGACCATAAATGGGAAAAATGAGATTAAGTGAAATTGGAGAGGCAAACAGAAAGGGAAATAATGCAGGACCTTAAAGCTGGTCAAACTTTGATATGATATTTGTGTTGTTTTATGAGCAACAAGTCAACTGCTAGTGGTTATTACTGTCTGATTTTACCAAAGAAATGTTGTCACTGTATAGTGAATGTATCTTCAATTTCTTTTTGTCACTGTATAAGATGAAATTGCTGCATATGAATACCCACATAACTTGGGTATAACGGTATTACAAATACATATAGCTTGGGCTCCATAGAATTTCTGAACACATAAACTTGTGTTTGGTTAATTCAAACTCTTGAGAATGAAAGAACACAATATCATGATATATGAAATCTTGTAAAAATTGGTGTAGGGATGATGGATTTCAATTAATTTGATTTAAAATGTTAATGGGGGTAGTTAGAGATGCAAGGAGATATATGAATTTTGGTACCTCAACGATTCATGATGGAAGCATCATAGATTTGACCTTTTCGAACTTTGTCTAAAGGCGTAGACACAATGATGGACTCATCAACGATTTGACCTTTTAAAACTCTGTCTACTGATATAAGTTTCGAAAACTCTAACTTTGATATAAGTTTCGAAAACTCTAACTTTATTTTCCAAAACTCTTTATTTTTATTGCGTGATGCTATTTACTACTTTCTAGCTTTATCCTCTTTATCTCAAAGCATTAAACATTTATACATGCAACCAAGTAAAATCCAGAAATAAAGGCGTCATGAAAATTCCAGAATTAAACATGCATAATGTCAGGGGCGGATTCATAGCCATTTCAGGTAGGGCCTAGGCCCCTCCTCAAATTTTATATTTTTAATTACATATTTTTGTAATAATAAAATAAACATAGATATACAAATTTTACAATAAAAATTAATAAATGAAGTTGTTTATTAAGCATTTTTTTTCTTTCTCTCGCACTAAATTTTTCTTATCATAATATTCTATTTATCTATTGTATGTGTAAATAAATTTATCATGACTTTGCATACTACTTTATTATATTAAAAAATTATTGCCAATGCAAATTTAGTGTCAACCATTAAATAAACTATGAGATATATTTATATTAAATTTTTTGATCCTAACATATTGAGAAATATCATTTCATTTCTTACCAAGACAAGTACAATTTAATATATGCTTTGATACTGTAGAAATTTAACATACATTGTCTGATGCAATTAGAAAATAATGAGATCTTGACATATTACACAAGTACGAATATCTTGCGATGCACGGATAAGAAATATTCATTAATATTTATATATTACAAATGTTCATTAAATAATATTATAAATTAGAAATATATGAAATCAATATATAATACAATTTACTTATTTAATTTGCTGAAATGTTATACGAAATTTAAATTGTGCAAAATTACATAAAACATGTATATTTAAAATTAGTACACAACCCGTACGGTGTAAATAATTGATCATAAGTTTCAAATAACTGATCATAAGTTTCATTATATTTATTTCAAAAATAGATGTAATTTTAAATTTTTTATTCAAAAATTTGATTTGACTATATGTGATTTAAGTAAAAAAAAAAACCTTTATACACACACACACACGCACCCACACCAAATAATTTGGTATGTTCCACGCACAACAAAGAAGATTTGACCATAGCATTCTCCATATTTTTCTTTCTTTTTAATATCAAGTAAAATGTTTATCAATACGACAAAAAATATCGGATACCATTTTTTACCATAAGTGGTTATATTGGATCAATATATATTATGCCAAATAATTCAATTTCATACTTTATCGATAAAATACAAAAAATGATATTCAATTTAACCACAAAACTAATTGTCCAACGTACAAAAAAAAAAAATCAAGACTCACGTTTATTATAGATAAAAAATAAAAAAAACCCAAATATAGTTATTAAATAAATAATTAAATAGAAACTGCCATTAACCTAATTATTTTAGAATTTATAAGAAATTATAGAATAAATCAACCGAACTTACACGATCTGTGTTATTAGGGTATCTTAAAAATTTCAAATTTTATTGTCTAATTATTTCTTTAATTATCTATGATTTGAACAATTAAATACACAAAAAATGAATATCATTTATTAAATAATATATAAATAAAATTATCATTAACACAATTTTTTTAGAATAGTTTTTGCAAATTGCATAATTAATTAATGTTGTCAATATTTCTATAATTGTAGTAATTATTTACAGATTGAATAAATCAGTAGCATTTACACAAAATTTGCGTAATTAAGGTATATTGAAAATGTATTTCACAAAAGAACTACATGAAAAATACAAAACACTTATTAAACAATAAATTTTACAATTTAATTGAAATTTTATTACCAAGATACATAATTGCTATTGCAGACGAAATTTCCATACTTGGGTAAATAAGCCCAACTAACATGACTTGAGTAATTAAGGTATCTTAAAAATGAATTTACTATAAATAATTATTTGAAATACACTATAAATTGTTAAATTAATTTGAGTAATTAAGATATCTTAATTAAAATAAATATTTATAGGAGAAATTCTATTGCAGTGCCTGATTTTTGGATATTGTGTCATAATAGGGTCTACATTTTTTTTACTTTTTCAATTGTGAGTTTCACTTTTAACTTATTCTCAATATAAGACCTACTTTTACATTCTGCTTTTCAATTTAAGGCTCCAAATCACTTTGTATTTTGACATAATTATGTAAACCACAATACTTCAAAAGAAATATTTTTAAGCACTTATAATAAAAAATATTAAATATCTTAACAAAATAATAAGATAATTTTTTCATAATTTATATTTATCAAACACTTAATGAAATTTATTTTAAAAGTTTAAAAATAAATTTGAACTTGATTTTAATCTAAATATGAGAATAACAATAAAAAATAAATTATTTAGAAAAATAAATTCAAGTAATTTTACTAAAGATATTTATAATTATTTAACATATAAATTTTAAATAATGGTATTTTAGTTTATATATTTATGTAAAAATATAAAGTTTGGGATGACAAAAGCCATGTACTGAAAAATTCATGATGGGATGACAAGTTGACAACTCAAAATCTATTAATATATAATAAGGATTAACATAATTCACTTTTAAAAACACTTTCCCGCCAATTTCATTAATTATTGTCTAAAAATAGTAAATTAATCAAAATCAATGTAATTAATGTACATATTCTTTTTAGTCAAATATTTGTTGTTATTACCTTTATTAGTTGAATTTAAATTTAGGATGATTTAGTTTTATGGAAACAAATATGGGGGTATTATAGAAACTTTCGAAATCTTTAGTTTAAATATATGGACTTGATTGAGCAATTATAGAGAATTAACCGTTAATCTTTATATCTATATTATATTTCCTGTATTGAGTAAAACATAATAAATTAATACTTATGTTATTTTTCACACATCTTTTTGTTGGCACAGTAGAGTTGCAAGATTATCTTTTTCTTCGTAGACAAGATAATCAAATACAAAAATATAAATAACATTTATGTGCGGCTAAAAAATATTTTGGACAAAATGTAGAGATGACTTTTAGAAATTACTTAATTAATTTATGGTATAAAGCTGACAACATTAATAAATCCAATTTTGGTATAAAGTTGATGATTTTATTTTAAGTATCTGATAGCCATTTTTATCTTTTCGTAGAAAATGTGTTGTTAATAATAAATGTTCAATTTTGTGGTATAAAGTGGGTGGTTTATTTTTGGTACGAAATGTTCGAATTTAAATAGTTTGAATTTTATTTGGAATGGATAGAAGTATATATGAAATTATTTAAAACAAAATAAGAGCATTTAAAATGCATAAATGTTGAATCACATAAATTTTGACAAATGTCAATTGTTTATATGGATTGTGAACCACATAAGATATTTTTTAAGTTCACAACTATAAATATAAAAAATTTTCTGCGTGCACAATGTGACCAAACATAATATTGTCAATTAGCAGAAACAAAAATAAAATATAAGTAAGAAACAAAAAAAATTAATAATTAGATATTATGAAAATGTTAATTATATTTTTCTCTCATATTTCAATTGGTTGATTAGAATGTAAAATAAAATGTGGATGAACCACATTCTTATAAAATCAAGGTGATGTGATTCTTAAAATTTAGCATATTCGCATAATAATTTTGTAGCGCCCCAAAGATTTTTAAAGACAATTTCGGATTTATCCAAAAATCTTGTTTTAAAGTTTCGAAAACCATTTATCGATTTTATAAAACTTTGGCGCTACTCGAGAACATTTCCAAGCAGTGTTTTAAATACCGTACCGGTGGCCATACCGGTCTACCCACCGGTACGCGGTATTACCGGTACGACCGGTAATATCGGTGGTATTACCGGACTAGCAAATATAATAATATATATATTTATATATAAAAATATATAATACCAAATACAAAAAAAAAAATAAAAAATAAATGATCATAATCATTAATTTTAACTTACCAGTGAAATAAAATAAAACATTCTAACTACCAATTTAAATTTTATGTTTTTAAATTAAAAAAAAAATATTTTTTATTTTTTTTTTTATTTTTTTTTTTCATGGCCGGTATTTTGGACCGGTTTTTCCCGGTATTTACGGTACAATACCGGTACAAAACGGTATTACCGAAAATCCGGTATTTTGTGTGTTTTTGTACCGTACCTAAGGCCGGTAACCGGTAATACCGGTATTCCACATGGTTCAACAGTACCTAAGGCCTAGCAATATGATTATCAACATAATCCAAACTGATAAAGATATTCCACATG